TAGATAGAGGGGTTTAAATAGTAAAATACGTGTGCATGATAAAGTTAATTCTGAGGTGGTAACTAGCTGTAGACGGTAGGACAAAGAAAGTCAGCATGTGTGTGATGTCGTCCAGACCCTCCTTGTCAGTCACCTGGCTGGTTGTCATCGTCACCAGTGTGTTCTCCACACATGCACAACAGTGATTTTCTAACACAACTACGTCATGTAGTTCCTCCTGTAAATGCAGAAGCAATGGCTCCTCATTAGTGACAAGAATGGGTGTGAAGCCTTCTGGTCAACCACAGTCTGGCTTCTACTCTTCTCCCACCCCCAGCCTGGCCGGCTGTGCCCCACTGTGCGTGCCCAGGTCCCCCAGCTCAGCATGCAGCTTGGTGCTCTGCACATGTACTTCCTGCCTCCAGCGTGGTCTCCACCCTCCACTCCATCATCACCACCAGGCAGATTTCTTGTCCTTACACTTCTCAGCTGACGGGTCCCTTAGATGAAAGTAATGTCCAAATGTTCACCGAGGTGTTTTAAATTTGATGCTAAATGCTCTTAAAATCAAAGACATTTACTTACAATGATAATATTTTCATGTCTTCTCCCATCTTAAATTCGCTTACCAGAAATTTATTGAATGCTTACTCTGTCCAAGGCACTCTGCTTGGTTTTGTCTGAATCATCCTGGATTTGACAAATGCTCCCTGAGGACTGTACCTAAATGGATGTTTGTAAGAAAATAAAGCTGAAACAAAGCCTGTTTACCCCTTCTTGTCGGAACAACAGGACAGACATATTGCAGTTGAGAAAGAATTTTTTAGCCTACAAAGTAGCTGTGAGCTTTTAGATGAGTCATCTTTATTAATGTGTTCAGAACTAATTCTGACAGTAGAAAAATTGAAACTATAAATTATAGATATGTAGCAATTTGTGGTTTATAGGAAATGGGGTAGTTTCTGTAGATCATGATGACCATCAGTATTTTAGCGGTATTTACATTCCTTGTTTGTTTTGACCACAGATGTGGTCCAGTTGGAAGAACTTTCTAGTAATAGATTTTAACAACGACTAGTTGACTCGTTAAGCAGGTCTGATATAATATCCACAGAAAATCATAGGAGACTTGAATAATGTGTTATGTTGTGTGAGAGATACCTGTGGTTTCTTTAGTATAGATGTGAAATGCATGTCCTAACTATCGCTTAGTAGATGATTATTTTTCTATGGTAACTGCTACATTTGGGGGGATTATTATTATTAATAATAATAGGGGAATCTTAGAAGTTGCATATAAATTAGGTCTCTTTAGTCTCTTATTAAACTTGCTTTGTAATTATTGAGCAAAAAAATATGAATGAAATCACAATCCTTTAACTACTCTGAGAAATCCCTTGGATTATAATGTTATAAAGGGATATTCATTCATTCATTCAACAAACATTTATGGGGTGTCTGGTGTACGCTCTGGATTACTCTAGGCACTGGAAATGTGGTAGGAACCTGGCATCCATATGTCCTTCTGTCCAGGAGCTTATTCTCGTGGGTGAGACAGACAGCACACCAGGACACACACAAACACACTCAGAGAGGGAAGACAGTGGCTTGGTAAGAGTCGGGTACCCGCGGTAGACAGGTGTGTGGCGCTTCCTTCCCACCAAGCACTTCTCTGACACCAGGTGTGAGCAGTGGGGGAAGCCTCAGCGGGGGGCTGACAGGTTCACCGGTCGCAGGCCTGGTGAGGAGCTCTGATCGTCTAGGTGCCAACTGGCAGTCACTGCTGCGCTTCACACAGGGAAGGGGTGTGTTGTATGCTTTCCAAAGAAGGCCAGGCCGCTCTGTGAAGAAGGGAGTGTGGGGCAGGAGGCAAATCTCAGTCATCGGCCATTCTGATGGGCCAGGTGAGAGGTGGCCGCGGTGTGGGGTAGGGGTGCAGGGGAAGGGAGAGGCCCAGGGTACCCAGGATTGCCGGTGGGGCTGGGGGTAGGGAGCAAGTGGAAATTAATATATCTTAGTGCAGAGTAAAAATAACATGACGTGGAGATAGTCACTTAGAGCCTCCAAATGCCATTTGGTCCTATATCCCGAGTTAGAAGTCATTGCTCACACTCTTTATTATAGTGGAACTGAGCTTTTTCGAAGCAAATGCAATTCAGACACTTAAAGTGCGCTGCCTCTTGTGTTTCGCTGCAATGAATGAAAAGGAAGTAGCTTAGAAGATGACATTTAAACTAAACAAACACTTTCAGCTAAAAGCATAAGGGGAAACATGACCTAAATGAGTTTATTTTGCTAATAGTTATTTCTTTTTTATGGAGAGATCAAGTCCCCTGTAACTTATACAAAAATGAGAAAATAGGCCTGCACTTAAGAAAATCATCTTTAGTAATTTTATATTTTTGATCTGAGAAGTCCTGAGTTAGGACAGGCAAACATTAGAAAGGGTCACCTTCCCAGGAGACATACAGGCCAAAGGCCCTGGGGCATGTTCCGACCTCCCCGCTTTGCCAGCTGACCTCACCTTTCTGTTCACCTGATTTACAAAATCCTTCCAGGTGACTTTGAGGTCCACATGGTCAACCTAGCAACTCATCAGGAAACTTGGCCTCAGAGTCCTTGTCCTCTCCTGTGGGAGGTAGAAGTGGAGAGAAGGAATCACAGAAGACACCTCGAGGGTGGCTGTGGCTGAGCTCCCAATGCCAAGGGCAGGGGAGGGGAGAGTTGACCAGGGGTAGCTCTGGACTCGCACCTCATTCACCATCACCCCCGGTTCATCTTCTACACATTAGGCTTTAGAATAAGATTTCATTTGAATGCAAGGGCACAACATTTTGTTTTTTAAAAGATTTAAATCTACTCTTGTAGCACACTTGCCCACTGAGGTGGTCCCGGCTCATGAAATTCTGCCGTTTTTAAGTGCCCAACATGAGTTGAGCTTCATCAGCCAGTGAGGGGAGCTCATAGCCCCAAATTTCATGTTCTAGCTTCCACCCCCTGCGACCCCCTCCGAGATGTGCAAGAACCTCTCAGAGGCTGTCTCTTCGTGGCACTTACATTCTGTAGGCCCCAGAAGTTTGTGGGTTTTGAGTTGGGTCAGTCCCCCTGTTCCTGTTGATTTTTATCTATGTGGGCCTTTATTCTGGCCCAGATTTGAGTGCTCCTTGTTCTCTCTGGTTTGGGGGAAAATGTCTTACTCTCCTCATAGCCGCCTTGCAGAGAATGGCACCTCAGCAGCGCTGATTGGAACCCCAAGAGTTGCAGGCAAAAGGGGAACATTGAGCTGACCTGGGCTTACTGGGGGCATCGGGCCTTTGACACTGGGGTCCTGCTGCTTCATCTGATTCTCCTGTTAGATTCACCTCCTCATCTGGTGGTTTTCATTCCCAAGCCCTATTGCCTGGTTTCATCCATCCAACTCTTTCCCATTCAGTCCATCAATGCAGGGTTCAAGTTCTTTCCCAAAGGGACTCTGGACTCCCACCAAACTAGCGGTTGCTCTGGGCACAGCTGTAAGTGCCTGGCAGTGAGGAGGGAGGTCCACCCTGATGCTCCTACACACCTTCCAAGAAGGTGTGGCCTCATGCCACTGGCTGACCTGAGTCTCGGTTCTGCGGGCCATGGTACTTATTACAAGAGACAAATCAGGCGTAGGAAACAAGACAGGAGAGATGATGACGTGAGTACAAGTGGGAAATAAACTTAGAAAAGCTCACTGGAATCCCTCTCTGCTGATAGCTTTCACCCTCTTTCGATAGGGCCTTTTTTTTTAGTGAAACAAGGGGCACCAGGTGTCAGGAGCTGACTTTCCTGCTTTCCCAGACTCACCCTCTGTTGGGGGCTAGGAATTCTCGGAGCAGAACTTGAACTTGAAAATCACCATACTGTGATGTGAAGATGGCAGGAATGGAAGGCGTATTTGCATTGCCTCCTGACACCTCCCCCTGAACCACAGTCTGTTAGCCCCCAGGCTGCTGGGTCTTCAGCCTCTCCGGCCTCCAGACTTCCCCACCCCCACTGGCCTCTCCACCCCCACAGCCTCCACCTCCTCCACCGCCCTTTTAGATGCAAATATGTGCGGGAGGTCTCAGCCCTCCTGGAAGTCGTCCATCCGCCCTCTCCTGCTCCTGCAGTTCCTCCAGTCCATTCTTTCTGTGGCCAACAGTCCTCTTTCTGAATTCACTTCTGACCTTGCCCTTCCTGAGTTCCCTCTGTGGCTCACCCTGCCTCGTGGGATGAAGGCCTTGACTGCACAGCTCTTTCCTCCCGCTGTGCCTGCGTAACCTATGGGCCTTCTCTGCTCCTCCCTAGAAACCCCTGCTGGTGGGCCCTCCCACCCGTTGTCACAGCCCCGCCTCCCAACCATCCCAGCCACTGACACAGACCACTCTTCCTTGGGCACTGGATTCAGGCTGCATGTCCTCTGGAAAACCTCCTCTCACTCCCTGCCTCTCAGCCCCAGCCCCACCTCCCTGCTCTGCCCCAGGTATTCTGCCCTCTTTGGGGCACCACAAACTTTGGTCTATTTGTCTGTGTCTTCCACTTGAATAGAAATTCCTTGAGAGCAGAGATGTTTTGGAGAAAGGGCCTTAGTCACTGTCCCAATCCCCCAGCAGATACCTGACCCTAAAGAGACCTCACCATTGGAATGAATGAATCCTCAAGGGACCACAAATGCATCTGTCAAGGTGTAGATGGCCGAGAATAAGTCAGTGAGCCCCAGGTTAACAGAAATAGAGATTGTTTCCCAAAGTCCTGTGGTTGCTGCCTTTCTGTAACTCATCTATCTAAATGGGCACTTGGGTTGGAAGGCAGGTTTTGTTTGTGGAGGCTGTCTCTCCACCCGAAGGGATGTGCCGTGCTTGTGCGAACCAGGCCAGCGTTGGGAGATGACCACGCACCTAACACAGGGGCGAGGTGAGAGTCACGGGAGGGAGGTTCGCGTGTGTGTGGGGATATGTGGGGGGACAGATGGCTGGGCCCCTTTATGAACCGCTCACTTGAAAATTGTCTTTCTGCAGGTGATGTATCACCGATCAGTATGTCTCCCATCAGTCAGTCTCAATTTATTCCACTCGGGGAGATCCTCTGCTTGGCCATCTCGGCAATGAACTCGGCACGAAAACCTGTCACCCAAGAGGCACTGATGGAGCACCTGACCACGTGCTTCCCAGGTAACGGGGACGGACAGTTCCTCTCGTGTTCCAGTCAGACAGAAAAAAATCCCTGCCAAAGTGGCCCAGAAACTTCTCTTAGTTTTGTAATTAAAAATGAACGCACCTGCTTTACTTCAAAAATAACCTGCCTTCTTCAGCTGTAAGACTTTTTAAATTTGCACTAAGAAAAAGAAATGAAATGGGAATCCGTGGGGAATTCTGGCCCAAACCACCGAGGTTCCGGTCCACCCCTGCAACAGGACCTGCTTTCCGTACACCAGCACCGTGATTCCTGGGTGTGAGTCAGAACAAGCCGAAGATTTTAGTCCTTCGGGGCTGAACTTCAGAGAGAGTGATGTGAAAAGTAAACATACCTTGCATGCATATGTCATGACCCAGTGAATTTGAAGAATATGATATTTGAGCCCTGGCCATTGTGGCTCAGGTGGTCAGAGCGCATTCCCCAGGTCACAATTCCTGGTCAGGACACATACCCAGGTTGTAGGTTTGATTCCCCCGTCAGGGCACATGCAGGAGACAACCAATAGATGTTTCTTTCTCACATCAATCTCTCTCTCTGTCTCTCTTTCCCCTCTCTTTTCTCCTCTCTCTATAAAAGCAATGAAAATAATGTTCTCAGGTAAGCAGAAAAAAATTTTATAATGATATTTGGTAAATCAGTGAAGATTTCACTGTAAAAACAATAAAATATAATAAAGATTATATAAAAGCAATAAAATGTTTTGTCTTAATGATTATAAAAAAAAGAGAATAGCCCAGCTGCAGTGTGAAGGGCATTTGAAGCCTCCAGTGCTTGGAGACGTCAGGAATGAGGATGAGCTGAGGAAGGCAGTGCCCCCTCGGCAGACAGGCAGCCCCTACTCAGCTGCAGTCTATTACTCTCTTCCTCCAAAGAAAGTAGGACCCTGCCAGAGTTGCAGAATCTTCTATTTTTCCAAGAGAATCTAGAATTTCAGTTTTATGTAACATGCGTGTCCATTTTAACATGTGCATGCCAGTGACATGCAAGTCCAATAAAACACACTATTGGGCCACCAGTTTGCCAGCTTGGTTTGGATGCAACCTCTACCTGGGTTGAAATAGAGCTTATGGTAAACACCAATGCTTCATACATTTTCCTTCAGCTGAGAAGAGACCTTAGCAAATGTACGCTGTTGGCTGTATTCAGTTAGTGTTTGCTCAAAAAAAGCTGGGTAGCGAGCACATACAGAACATCAGTGGCACTCACCAATATACATTTATTTAGCTCAAGTGTCGTGGGTTCTCCAGGAGTTGGCTGATTCAGATGGGTCCTAGCCAGGTGGCCCTGCAACACCTGTACCCCATCCTCTCTGGGCAAGGGGGCAAACAGAGGCCTACTCTGGGTGTGGCGACGGCAAAGCTGCAAGAGAACCAGCTCGGCTGCACGAGGGCCCGGCAGCCCTTCGGTAGTGCCACACCCACTAGCATTTCATTGGCCAAACCCAAAGTCATGGTGTGGGGAGAAGACAGAAAGACTGCCTCTAAACGAAGTAGTGACGTATGATGTTGAGTCTCCCCACTTTGCCTGGTGATTTTTCCCTCTCTTTCCATTTCCCAATTAATGTGTTTGCAATTATGTGTGCTGTTTAAAAAACTCTAACAGGCGTGTTCAACCTGCGACCCGCAGGCCGCATGAGGCCCAGGACAGCTATGCCTGTAGCCCAACACAAAATCGTATATTTACTTAAAACCTTTTTTTTTGCTCATCAGTTTTTGTTAGCGTTTGTGTATTTAATGTGTGACACAAGACCACTCTTCTTCATGTGTGGCCCAGAGATGCCCACAGGTGGACACCCCTGCTCTATCAGGAGCCCACCCTTGCAACCTGTAAATTACCTGAAGTGTTATAACATTTGATGCTCTCTGAATGTTCTTCACTAATTGTTTGTCTCTCCTTGTTAACTTCCAGGCAAACCTTTTCCTTTCAGTAGTAAGGTAAGGGAAGGGACAGCTTGGGTGGAAAGCTTATCTGTATTCTTTAAGCTCTCAAAATCCGAATTCTTGCTAAACTCTGGGAGTAGAATCTGGAAGTGATGGAACATGCAAATGTTAAAATTCACAACCACATCTCTTTCAGGTGACCCCTACGGATTTCTAGTGGAACCCTGAATTTCGTAGACAATTGAAAGCATCAGTGATTGTACCAGGGTTTACTAATAAAATAATTATCATGGATATCATGACTATCATGTAAAGCTTTTGCAAATGCACAGATAGAAAGATGGAAAATGGACCAAACAGGGAATGTTTCTATTTTTTTTCCAAATTAAACATTATTTGATTGATATACTTGCAAATATAAGACAAAAACTTTAGATGTAAATGTTCTCTGGAAATTCTTTCTTATTCCTTCCTTTGGGAATAATCAGAGAGCTTAGTCTCAATGGTAAGGAATGATGACGGCGTAGTCGTGATTCTGCACAGTTTGTGAGGGTTCTAAGATCAGGAAGAGGGTCACTCGGAAGGCCTACAATCAGCAAGTTCTAGAATACAGCTGAATTTTTGTCATATAGTAATAGCCACCTTTCTGAATTAAGCCCTTTCCTTTAATCTAGCAGCATGGTAAACTCAACCGTGAAGTCTTATAAATGAGCCTTACCGTTTTTGGAAAAGCTTCTGTTTAAATCTGACTGAATGTGTGCTGCCGTGTAAAATCCCCCGAGTTTTAAATGTGGGCTTGTCATCTGGATTGCCATGCTGCACAACTCCAGGGGGTGACGACTGTACAGAGCATCTCTGCTCAGGAGCTGAATTCTGTGTGAATAGCACCCCCTGAAGTTGTTCAGCAGAAGGTGGTTAGTGGGGCTTAGCAGCTGTTTTAAGTTTAAAGCATTTTTTGTTGTATACCATCTCCCAAGAATTGCATTGGTATGGTTTGGATTATAGCACTAATTCTATTGGAATTCGCTTTTATTTTGGGCAGAAACTCCCATAAAATTTAAGAAAAAAAATTATGATTCTCCTGGCCTTGAAGTTACATGCATGAAAGCCAGTTCCCTGTTTCTCAAGAGCAGAGCTTAGAGAGAAAGGAAAGCATGCAGGTCAAACATGAGGTAATTACAGATGGTAATACCTCTTCATAGGCAATGTCACCTTTCCTGCCTTGGTTACTAACAATGCCTTCTGGAGAAGGTGACATGGGTATATGTGTCACATTCTAGTCGAGGCCTTGTTGCCCTTGAGCACTCCCAGCTGTTTCCAATGCTTTTGTAGACCACCTTCCCAGTTTTGGAAGGACTGGGGAGGCCTACACTTCTCTGCTCACATAGCTATTGTGGGTTGCTGTGCAGTGTTCTTTGAAGGTGATCCAGGTTTCCACGGGCCCTGACCCTAAGTCGAGACCACTAATAGCTACTGTGTTTTGATACCTCACTATATGTTAGGCACTTTTGTATACATGGGGTTGGCCAAAAAGTTTGTTTAGTTTTTTTTCTATAAAAGACATGTTTTTCATTTTCACCAATAATTTTATGGCTTTGGATATTTTAAACACATCGGCTATCTCCCATGTGGTAGAACATTGATTGTTCTCAATTTGATTGCTATCAACTTCAAATGGTCTACCCAGCCATGAAGCATCATCAAGAAATCTCCAGCACAAAGTTTCTCAAACCCCTGTTGACTTGTTCGATCAGTCACAGCTTCTTCTCCATACACTGCACAAATCTTTTTTTTTGTATTGCAGTTGCATTTTTACCCTTCTTGAAATAATAAAGCACAATATGCCAAAAATGTATATTTTCTTCCATCTTCAGTATTAAAATGGCAACACAAAAATTCACCAATTTTGATAACTTTTTAAAAAATGCATGCTGATATACAATCTTAGCAAAATTGTTTTGAATGAAGTTAAAGACAACTAAGCACTACTAGAGTCATCTTGTGGGGAAAAAATGAACTTTTTTGCCAACCCAATACATTAAACTAATTTAAACTCACAACAGCCCTATGTGGGTAGGTACTATTAAGATCCACATTTTGATGATAGTGAATAGACGCTCTGAGAGGTTAAGTAAGTTGCCTAGGATGATACCAGCTGGGTTCAGTTTTCTAGGGCAACCATAACATAGTACATGTGGCTTAAACAACAGAAGTGTATTGTCTTGCAGTTCTGGAGGCTAGAAGCCCAAAACCGAGGCACCATTAGAGTGGGTGGGCTCCTTCTGAAGGCTGTGAGGGCCGAATCTGTTCCAGGACTGTCTCCTTGGCTGGGAGCCGGCTGTCTTCTCCCAGTGTCTCCTCGTTGCCTTCTCTCTCTGTACATCTGTATGTTCAAATTTCCCCCTTTAAAATGACACCAGTCATATCAGCTTAGGGCCCCTTAATGACCTCATTTTAACTTGATTGTCTTTATAAAGACAGTCTCCACCCAAGGTCACATTCCGAGGTACTGGGGTTAGCACTTGAGCCTACAAAGGGCAGAGGTGGGGGCACAATCCACCCGATAACATCCATTAATAGCGGTGGATTTCCACCCAGCAGTCTGGCCCCGGAGCCCAAGCTTCAGTCTGCAGGGAAACTGTCATGCACCTCACATGATGTTTTGTTTAACAGTAGACCATAGGTACAGTTCCATGAGATTTTAATGGAGCTGAATTTCCTGTAAGACATGGAAGGACGTGTGGTTCAGGAGGATTTGTTTTCCTCTGACAGGATCACTATCTGTGGGGCTCGGCAATAGGTACCCTCTCAACAGGTGACATCCTGGTCCATTGGCCTTGGTCCTGTCTCACTGGGGAGGAGCCCATTCTGCAGCACCACATACTCAGAGGGCGCCGCAGCCCTCCCAGACCTAGTCTGACGGGCTCCAGAGGGCGTGGTGGTACATTCTTTGTTGGGGACCTAATGCCCTGTACAAGGATACAGGTCCACAGGAGCTACCTGAACAGGTGAGGTGCTAAGGGCCACTACCAATTTAGTAAAAGCTTTCTGTGGTTGGGTGGAGCCAGCCTGTCCCTGGACTTGGGAAATATTTTCAGATTGTAATGATCTAAAGCATAGACGAGCTTTCTTTCTTCCACCACTTCAATGCCAGAGGGTCAATGGAACTGAAAACAAATTTCCAAAGTCAAAATATTGAGTCCTCAGCTCTACACCCTCTCCACGTTAGATGCTCTTTTGTTTATGACTGCCGCAGAGTTCCTTAATCTGACATTGCTCCAACATGCAGTAGGCAAAACCACTTGGCCATGACAATCCGCTATGTCCCTTTATCTTTCCTTCTAAATTTCTTATTCCTCCTGACCCTCGGGCCACCTCTCACTCCCTCCTGACTGTCACTGTGTTGGTGATCTCTGCTCCACCCAGCCACTTGCTCCTCGATATTTCCAATCAGCCCAGCCCACAGCCCTGTTCACGGAGCAGCATTGACAGCTTCAATGTTCTTTCTGACCCAATGGGAAGGAAGCAGGGAGAGGGACTTGTGCGACAGTGTTGACAAAATCTGCAGTGGTGCACAGTAATGTCCCAGGTCATCACATTCACTCACCACCGGCTCCCTGACACACCCAGGGCTACCTCGAGTCCTGCACGCCCTGTTCATGGTGAATGTCCTGTACAGGTGCACCATTTCTTAAAAATAATTGTTTACTTTTCAGTTATAGTTGACATACAATATCATACTAGTTTCAGGTGTATAACCCAGTGACTGGACATTATATATCTAAGTGATCACCTGGATAAATCTAGTACCTATCTGACAACGTGCATAGTTATTACAGGATTGTCAACTGTATTCCCTATGCTGTACTTTACATCCCCGTGACTATTCTGTAACTACCAATCTGTACACTTCTTAATACCTTCATATTATTCACTCATTCTCCCACCCCCTTCCCACCTTTCACCCAGTCTCTCAACCTCCTCCCCAACCTTTTATGTGATAATTTTACTGTACCTTCTCTATGTTTAGGTAAACGGATTCTTATCATCGTGTTACTCTTGTCTGCAGTATTCAGTATAGTAACGGGCTGTACAATAGGCAACATCCACCATCTAGCCAAGGTGTGTAGTAGGCTAGACCATCTGGGGTTGAGTAAGGGCACTCTGTGAAAGTTCGCATGACAACAAGGTCACCTAAACTGCATGCCTCTGAACATGTCCTTGTCGTTAAGTGACACGTGACCATATATCATTCAGGTCGATGTTATAAATATTGTAACCATCAGTGTGCCTGGCAATGAAAAATGGAGAACACCCAAGAGCTCAAGTAAATGCACTCCAGTCTGGAGAACGTATACTTCCTTAAGTGTGTATATTCCCAGTTGTATCTCTTAAGGTAGCCAGTGCATACACATGCACACAAAACCCTTTGAAAACAGCGTCAGTCACTCTACAAAGGAGTTATCTACGATTTCCTTCTGAAATTTCTATTCTGGCAAAGGTGGCAGTTTGGGACCAGGGACCAGACAGATGTAGAACATCCAAGCTTTCGTGAGTGTATTTCTTAGGGCTCCCCGGTTATGAGTTAGGAAGACCACCTCTATCCTGCTGACTTGTGCCAAGAAGGGTCTGCCCTGAACCCCACCAGGGCTATAATCACGTTCAAAATTGACCATGACAGTTTAGAGTACCGCATCACGAACCATGGTCAAGACCAATCGCCCTTTTGTATAATTTAGAAAATCCAGTTTATTAAGTAAACTTAATCTTTAAAAATGTATGGAGCAGTCCCAAGTATATATGGTAGACTCCACATGTTTTAGCTTTGTTTATCAGTACCAAGAAGGCTTTTCAACCCTGTTTTCTTAGTTGCTTTTATGGAAAAAAAGTCTTTTTTGTTCATGCATATCATATGTAAAACATCTTTCATTTCTCCCCTTATTAAAAAATATTCTATCTTTAAAGATTCAGTTCAATAAAGGCTTGTTACAACAGTAGTGACCTCACTTCATCACACTCCCCTCTCTCTCCTCACCCCTTCCACTTTCTCATGCTGTCTGTGGTATTGCTCATGAGCGTCATCAGAGAAAACTGGGATTCCCACTGAGCCTAAGGAACACCTTTGAGTGCTGTGTCCTTGTTCTTTGATGATACTTTGAAAAGCTTGGCCACAGTAATAGGGTTTTGGCTGCTGCAACAAGAGACCATAGACAGGGTAGCTTCAACAACAGACATTTATTCCTCACAGTTCTGGAGACTGGGAAGTGAGTCCAAGGTCAAGGTGCCTGCACATTTGGTGTTGAATGAGGATCCTCTTCCTGGGTCCTCACATTACAGAGCAAGGGGGCTCTGGTCTCCTCTTCCCATAATGTCACATCATGAGGGCTCCATCCCATGACCTCATCTAACCATACGGTCCCACTCCCCAGTACCAGCCCATTGGGGATTGGGGCCTGAGTATATGAGTCTTGGGGGAACACAAACATTCAGCCCATGGCAGATTCTGAACCATCAGGGATCCAAAGCATGTTTCCCCTCCCTGCTCACGGGTGTGTTCTCTTGGTTTTAGGTGTTCCCACCCCAAGCCAAGAAATTCTGCGGCACACGCTGAACACGCTGGTACGGGAGAGGAAGATCTACCCAACCCCAGATGGCTATTTCATCGTGACCCCGCAGACTTATTTCATAACTCCTTCCCTCATAAGAACTAACAGTAAGTGGTACCATTTGGACGAGAGGATACCTGACCGGTCTCAGTGTACCTCCCCACAACCCGGAACCATTACGCCCTCTGCGTCGGGCTGCGTCAGGGAAAGGACATTACCCAGAAACCACTGCGACTCTTGCCACTGCTGCAGAGAAGACATGCACAGCATGCATGCGTCGACTCTGCAGAGGAAACCTGCCAAGGACTGCAAAGACCCTTACTGCCCTCCTTCACTCTGCCAGGTGCCACCCACCGAAAAGAGCAAAAGTACTGTAAATTTTTCTTACAAGACAGAAACTCTCTCCAAACCTAAAGATAGTGAAAAGCAGTCTAAAAAGTTTGGGCTCAAGTTATTCCGGCTAAGTTTTAAAAAAGACAAGACCAAACAGCTAGCCAATTTCTCTGCCCAGTTTCCTCCCGAGGAGTGGCCGCTGCGAGACGAGGACACGCCGACGACCATCCCTCGGGAGGTGGAAATGGAAATCATTCGGCGTATCAACCCGGACTTGACCGTGGAAAACGTCATGAGGCACACTGCACTAATGAAGAAGCTTGAAGAGGAAAAAGCACATAGGAGTAAAGCCGGATCCTCTGCCCATCACAGCGGAAGAAGTAAAAAGAGTAGGACTCATCGCAAGTCCCACGGGAAGTCTCGGTCACACAGCAAGACGCGAGTTTCTAAAGGAGACCCGTCGGAAGGTTCCCACCTGGACATCCCAGGTGACAGAGAGTATGACTTCTGTGATCCTCTCACCAGGGCCCCCAGGGAGGGCTGCTTCATCATTGAACACAAAGGAGAGAACTTCATTATGCACAGCAACGCCAACGTGATCGAGCCTCATTTCCCCATGACGCCAGAATGGGATGTGTCGGGGGAACTGGCCAAAAGGAGAACTGAGATGCCTTTTCCTGAACCTTCCAGGGGAAGCTCCCACTCAAAAGTGCACCGAAGCCACAGCCATACCCAGGACCGGCGGTCCAGGAATGAAAGGTCCAACAAAGCCAAGGAGCGGTCCAGGTCCATGGACAACTCCAAAGGCCCTCTGGGCGCCTCTTCTCTGGGGACGCCAGATGACCTGGCCGAAGGCTGCAGCCAGGATGACCAGACGCCTATCCAGTCCTACATCGACGACAGTACCCTGAGGCCTGCACAGACCTCCGGTCATCAAAGGGCTCACATTTTGTCCACAAGCTATAAAGAGGTATGTATTCCAGAAAAAGTTGGTGGCAGCAAGGAACCATCCAGCGCTTGTAGCCTCTTGGAGCCAGGCAAACCACCCGAGAGTTTGCCATCCTATGGTGAACTCAACTCTTGTCCGACAAAAACAGCCACGGATGACTATTTCCAGTGCAACACCTCCAGCGAGACAGTGCTCACGGCTCCGTCACCTCTGGGAAAGAATAAAGAGGACCATGACACTCTAGCCCTGGCTGAAGGGGTGAAAAAGCTGCCTCTTTCTGATAGGCCAGCCCCACATTCCTCCAGGGAGCCCGTGGGGCACAAGGAGGAGTCGCCAAAAGGGCCTGGTGGGGGCCCAGCTGCTCCCGGTGCAACGGCGGAAGGGATCGCCAATGGACGCCTCATCCAGCATCACGGCGCCGAGCCCAGCAGCCTGGACAAGAGGAAAGAGATATTCAGCAAAGACACACTCTTCAAACCTCTTCACAGCACCTTGTCTGTCAACAGCTATCACAAGTCCAGCCTGTCCCTCCTCAAATCTCACCCGAAGTCACCTGCCGACGCACTGCCAGGTCGATGCGAGAAGCTAGAGCCATCACCCCTGGGGACCTCGGGGGCACAAGTCCTACCAGCCCTCCAGCGTCAGCAGGATTCTGGGGGGAACCAGGAAGCCTCATTTGACTATTACAACGTCTCCGATGATGATGACTCTGAGGAAGGGGCAAACAAGACCACCGAGGAGGAAAAGAACAGAGATGATGTGGGCACCATGCAGTGGCTCCTTGAGAGGGAGAAGGAAAGAGACTTGCAGAGGAAATTTGAGAAGAACCTCACCCTTCTAGCCCCAAAAGAAACCGACAGCAGCAGCCACCAGAGAACCACCCATTCGGCACGCCTGGACAGCATGGACAGCAGCAGCATCACTGTGGACAGCGGATTCAACTCCCCACGGTAGGGAGAGGCGTCTTTCTACACACACATACACCCACCAGGGCCTGGGGCTTTATGCAAAGAACTGCAAAAGCTTCTGGTCCCACAGTGTCAGTTCTGTGAATGAGGGTTAAGAGTTGTGTGAGTGGTATTGTTAACAACCTGTTTCTGGCTTCTTTTTCAGGAATTGAAACATGTTTCTGCAGCTGTAGAGATCACCAATCTGGACTGGTGGGTTGGCTCCTTCCCTCAAACTTGCATCAGTCCAATCTAAATAAGACCAACATTTCCCAGTATTTTTTCCTATGTTTATATTGCCACCATACTGATAAAGAAAAGTGGTTTGTCTTTTTTAAAGTCCTTTGAACATTGAGTAGAATGAGTAGGTAGTGGGGATGAGGTAGGGGCCGGGGATAAATTGATTGACTCAAGCACTGTGGTCCCTCTAGTGAGAATGTACAGTTGACTCTTGAACAGTACAGGTTTGAACCATGTGGGTCAATTAAGGACAGATTTTTTCCCAATAAATATTGTAAATGGATTCTCTCTTATGATTTTCTTACTAACATTTTCTCTAACTTGCTTCATTGTAAGAATACAGTATTAATACATATACAAATAAGTGTTAACTGACTGTTTATATTATCTAAAATGCTTCCCATCAACAGTAGGCTAGTCTTGGTTAAGTGTGGGGAGAGTCAAAAGTTATACGTGGACCTCCGACTACGGGAGTGTCAAAACCCCTACCCCCTGTGATGTTCGAGGGTCAACTGTAAAATCAGATCTCAAAACCTTCTCAGTGGACCTGGAAGCTAGTTGCCATTGTAACCCCGACTTTCTCTGTGGCCCGCCCCTCCTTGTGCATACGCCTTCCTCTCACTGCTCACATGTCTACAGAGAAATGGACCTTGTTCTACCCACAGGAAGATCGGGGTCCTCTGCGCTGTTAGATCAAAGCATGTGCCAGTGCTGTTTTCTCCCCCCCCCCCCCCCCACCCCACCCCGCAGAACTGGTACAACCTAATCCGAGTCCTCTAATCACAGTCCCTCCTTTTTAGGAGGGACTGGTGATTCAGCAAAGGGTTGACAGTTGAGAGTATGTAATACGTGAAGGTCATGTTTAGGGGGTTAGGAAAGCAAAAGAGAGTCTACACAGCTTCCTTTTTTTCTCCTTTACTCTTCCTTCTCTTCAAAGAGCAACTCCAGCCCTCATTTTCCTTCTCAATTCTACTCCAGATTGGTGACTCTGAGATGCAGAAATACTGTGGGGAGGTGGACAGTCCTCATTTGCTGTGATTCCCAAGATTTTACAATATTTATAATTTTAACGAGCATTCAGATATGATTATGCACTTCATATGTTTATTTTAATTATGAAGAATTCTAATCAGTTCTATTGTGATCACTTCACTGTATCTCTAGATAATTTTGGGACACAACATCCCAAAATTAGAACTGGGAATTGTTAATCTGTCACATTATTAGGCCTTTGTCACCATCATCATCATTGTCATAGAACCATTTTCCCAAGTTAACACGTGTGGCAGTCCAACATCTAAACAGACTACAGAGCTGGCACTCTGGTTAAAGTGGGTGGGAGACCGGGGGTCTCAGATCTTTGCTGCCTGTCCCTTGAGGAGCCCGAGGGGGGCTCAGGGAGCATGGCACTCGGTCTGAATACTGCTGGCCTATTAAATGACTTTTCTAAGAAGTCACTTTTCCTGCATAATTTGCAAATCAAATCTTAAATTATTTACCAGTTATTTTGTTGTGTGTCCTTTCCTTTCTATTTCTTTCTTCTATGCTTTTTTTCTCCTCTTGAAATCCTTGCAGGGGATACCTTATAGGCATAATCGAAGGTCTGTAATCGATGGTAGAAGTTCAAGGCCATTGCCTATGGAAGGTGTGGTTTATTTGCCTGTACCTTATGCTCTGCTATTTCATAGTATGTAGACTCTCCCCACCAAATGCTCTTCACACAGCACCTTCTGACCCTCCACGTTGCCCTTGGCCCCCGGCCCTCTGCTGAGAGAAGACTTCAGTACTCCAGAGGTAGTTGCTAAGGGGACGTTGAGAGTCCTTATTGGTTCTGACTTGAGACTTACCACTGCATAACATTGGAAGGTTTTTGTTTGTGTGGGGGCAAAGAAACAAATATTCATGAGGGAGTTGAACCAGTATCTCCACAGGCTATATTCTATCTCCGAATTTGGGGTTCAGAATACAGGATAGGAATGGGATTAGTTTTTGAAGTCAGTGTATTTGCATTTCTTGAAGTGCCTCGTCATGGTAGAAGGTAAAGGTTGTTCTGAGGAGACAGCCTTCACAAGTTAGCCATGTGTCTGTCCACTCTCATTAGGCAGAGTTTTCTGCACAGGAATACATAGCTCGCCCATAAATTCCATGCAGTTAGAGGATTTATGTAACAATTCCTTATTCCACCCCTTTTTATTTAATGCATTTTCTATACCTATGTGTAAACTGTATTTTCTGTATACCTCAGTGAATTCACTAAGGGGCCCTTCTAACTGATGCATGCGGAGGGTCTACAAAGGAGAATACTGGAGTTGTAGGGAGTTTTGCTGGCAGCATGAGGACTACTTCAGCCAAAGGCATCATCCTACTGACATCTCTCCACGGATGTGAGACGCAGAAATCTTAAGTGTACCATTTATTCAGGTCTTTCAGTAAATAGTTCACTGGCCAACTAAGATCCAACTTTTTTTTAAAAAGACCAAAAATGGTGATCCCCACACTCTCAGCTTTCAGTGCTGGCTCAGGAGTCATGTTCAGCCACATTTCTAAAATTCTTCAGTCCCCTTTTCGGGGAATTTAAAGGGTATTGAGAAGGGAAAAAGGTAGAAATTTAAGCTTTGCCATAGATCTAATATTGAAACTGAAATTTTTGACATTAAAAGCTATTCCAAATCTGAGGCCAAAACTGGTGGATAAAGTTCATATGAAAACCAGAGACAACTGAGGCTGCCAGGGACACGTCTACTGTCTGTACCGCCGTGTCATGCGTGTTGCATGTGAAGCCAGGGGCCGCATGAAACACGGGCACCAGGAAGACGAACCACACAGCCCCTGGGTTCGGGTCTTCTACCTATGAAATCCCGAGGTCTTACTTTTAAAGGGCACCCCATTAGCTCTCTCCTTTAAAAAGTAAGAACGTTTAAATTTGCCAGATAGTTTTCCTGCTCACACTCCATTGGCGTTAACTTTTTCGCCCTCATGTCTAGAGCCCTCACTGTCACTGTCATACCCTGCACCCGTGATTACAGCTGTCATGCAGTGCGTCCTTTGGGGAAACTGGAGTCCTGTGCCCATTTATCACGGTGACTCTGCGGGCCGCGGCAAAGAGGCGTGTTGGAGCTCAGACAGGTACCGCACAGGCCGCGATGTGTGTCTGCTGTGCCTTGCACAGCGCCTGGCATCCAGGAGGTGCATCTGGAGCCCATGCCTTAAAAGCTGGTCTAAAAGTGGGTGCTTTGGTTCGTCCAGTGTGTTTTCCCATAGAAAAGATGGTGTTGGTAATGTGTAGATTCCCAGACCAACACAGTCGCTAGTTTCCTCATGATGCACCGGATATCGAACAGAAATAATTCACACTCGTCTAGCTGTTCTGTGTACAAACTCTTCATCGACACCTGATTCTTCTTCACGGTCACTCTGAGAAGGTCAGTCAAGAAAGCTTCCCGATTTTAAAAATGAGGGAGTTAAATACCAGGGAGGAGAAATGCTGTCCTGATTAAGAATGAAACCGAAGGAACGTGGCATGGAATCTCTGGGGCCTGCGCATTTATCACCTTTTTTTCTTCCTTCACCTGACCCGCGCCTCCGTGGTAGGGCTGGGAAGCCGCTGACGATTTTTCTTAGGGAAGAGGTCGGGCAGGTAAGCAGGTGAGTCCAGTACTTCCCGTACCGTCAGTGATGATGTGTTGAGTATTCCTTAGGTATTGCCCGATTCACCGTAGGCATAATGGAAGAACTCGACTTACTCCTATAAAGGCGTTAACCTTCTGGAGGTACCCTCTGCTGTCAAGAAATGTCCGGTTGTCTTTTTGGTGGTCAATAAATACATGTTCTTTGGAACAGTGAACTCTTGGCCATTTGATGAGAAGCAAATTCAAGGCCACAAGGGATTAGGATGGAAGAAACCGTTAGTCAGGGCTGCCGGGGTCCAGGGTGCAGACAAAAGCGCCATCACTTTGGGATGGGGAGGAGGGGCCCTGAGGGTGTCCACTATCTATCGTACTTTGGTAGACCAGCTTCAGCAAGCTCCAACCAGGTATGGGGACCAGCTCCCATCAAATTTTTATAAACCTTGAATCTATCCCATTGGATGGGTGTTTTGAGCATCACCAGGGTCTCTTCAGACTGTCTGTAAGCTGCTTTCTTATGACCATTTTGAGGACCTTGAACATGAAACCCATGGATCAGGCCAAGTAAATCTTATTTCTGTTATTTCCCTACACATTTGAAATGCTGAATGTTCTTTGTCTCTTGGAGCAATAAATTTCAGTATTTCTAACCTAGAAAAATTAAGAGAAAACAAAATACTAAAGTCATTAAGTCATCTCTACTCTATAAGAATCCTTTAAAATTTCCACCAGAGTGTTGGGAGCAAGGTATGCAGATAATGTAAACATCACAACTGAATGGGTAACAGCTAAGATTCCTCATCGGAAAATATAATGTATAATGTGTTTTCACTAAAGGGTTAAAATTTGAAACAGAGGTGCGAGGGTGTCTAAAGAAGGACTTTATTTCCATCAGCGTGGCAGATTAGCCAATGGCACGCTTGAAGTCCACCAAGGTCAAAGTCTGCTAATCAAGAATGAAAACAGGATCATTAGCATACAGTCTTGAGTTTATTCAGGCACAGTTATATCAATGAAGTCCCAGCCTGAAATGAAATCATTCCATATGTGTATGTATGTTTAAAAACTGATGCGATACCTGAAGGTCTCATCAAATTTTGAAGTAGTTTCCTTGGGAAGGGGGAGCCATTGAAAGGGCTCGAGCTGTGGAAAAACCCTTTGTTCGGGGTGCTGCCAGCTGGGGGTGTCACACGGCTCCTGGAGCCGGGTGTGAACAATCAGGAGGAGAGGGTCTGTGTGTGACGCTGTGAGCCAACGGAGCAAACCCATTACCTATACCGTTTGCTCTTCCCCTGGAACTCACTCTGTAATCATTCGTGTTCCAAATAAAACAAAACACAACCTTTTTACTCTTTTAGCACTCGGGAGAGCCTGGCTTCCAACACGTCGAGCATTGTTGAAAGTAACCGTCGGCAGAACCCCACCTTGAGCCCGGCCCACGGTGGAGCCGGCCCGGCCTTCAACTTCCGAGCAAGTACGGACCCCCCGACCAGCGACGCTGAGAAGTTACAGAAACCTTCCAACTGCTTGCAAGCTTCCGTGACTAGTGTGTGAGAGTCGTTCTGCCTCTGATCTGCCTCGTTCGATGCAGCCAAGTTTACGACACTGGGACTGATGTTTACATCTTTGGGAAGACAAGCATCTCAACCACAGTTTTTGTGTTTACTTAAACTGTGCTGCTAAGTAGGCTAGAGCAAAACACAAAAGTCTTTCTTTCAGAGTATTGCTTCTCCCATGTATGGCTCTGTAGCAACAGAATAGCAGTAGGGGTGATGTGTACACTTTTGCTTCACTAATTGTACCCGAGCACCCATAGGAACGTCTAGACGCTGTCCGTGTGATGCGCATTTTCGATGTCATGCAGTTTGCCAGTTCCACGTTTCAACGCCACGTTGAAACTCCCAGTCTGTGGGCAGATGGTGCCGCAGAACTGATTCTTGACACTTCCCCAAAAACATGACGACAACAACAAAACAACACTAAGCCACCACAAATTGTCCAGTGCAAGGGCCCATTGTGAGGGACGCCAGTACCACCCTGCTCAGAAGGGACCCCAGCCCTCTGTGTGTGAAGCATTTAGGCACCTGTCATTTGTCACTGTGAGTGTGCGTGAAGCGGGTTCGCAGGCACACAGAGAAGTGTGTTGGGCGGGCCGTGATGGCCGTGCTGGGAGCGTGTGTGTGCCGGAGTTTGTGTTTAAGGTCACAGATGCTTGTCTGAGTTTGAACCTTCCGTCATCACCCACAGGAATATAGGCCTTTGATTCTGAAGTAGGTAAAAAGGAAGGGGTCCCCAGCCTGGCTGGGGCGCAGTGCTCAGTGATGGGAGAGGTAATGTGGACTTCCAAAAGGTGTTCGTCAAAGATGTAAGGAAGAGCGTTTCCTCTTTGGGATACTTATGATGATCCTAGCTTAAGAGAATAGATACGATAATTAGTTTGTTTAAAAGCAAAATGTTCTTTGTGATACAAATGAAGACTATGGCCTGGGGATGTTATTCTTTCTAATGGAAGGACATAAATCTATTTTATGTAGTTTTAAATAGAATGCCTAAATTAGGCTGCGGGAGATAATTTTTAGTGGTTAGAGGAAAGAGCAGATTTAGGGAGAGTTGAACTTCAGGCCTTTTATTCCTGGGAAGATATCTATAGAGAAAACTTTAACATAATTTTTGATCAGAAATAGAGATGTGCCCATGTAATTAACCACAGAATGTGCTCATTCTGCAAGTGTGGTCCAATTCTAACCTGTACTCCCCTGAAATTGACCAGAATGACACTTATGCATCCATGAACTATGCCAGAGTAATGTTTACAGATACTTTGTAACCAATTTCAGGAGGCATTTTTAGGTGGCTGTATGGTTATTAGCCCAACTTATTTCAAAATGGTTTGTTAACATTTGGCTTTAGTTTACACTGTCACATTGAATACAAAGAAGCCAGTCAGCAGCAAGGGAATGACGTGTAAGCTTCAGCCTTCTAGGAAAAAGACTTTTCAAAGTCCCCTTTGTTTTATTTTACGAGGACAGCAGAATAAATCAGGAGAGAATGGAAAATTATTTGCAAAAGGGTTACCTAGGACATGAGCAGATGGCCTGACCAAGAGTTTATTTAGTTTAGTGGCGAGTGATGTTTGGAGCCATGTACCATAAAATATAGATCCAAAAATAAGTCTACAGTGTCTTTTCCTCAGATTTCAATCAGTGGCATAAAATCTGTGGAACTCCTCTGTCCCCATATTAGGTTCAGTCCTGGCGATCTGTTTAAAGAATGCAGCCGTATACATTTGGTGCCCCCTCGTGCTTTATCGGACATTTGGAAGGTGCATGGGAAACTAGACGTATTGAGTTCAGGACAGGCTCATTTTGTGTGCTTAGAGCGAAACCTCAGCCCACTTCTTGGTAAACTCCCTCACCACTAAAATGCATAAGTCAGCTGGCGTTCAGTGTCATGCCTTATTTCCTCCAAGGCAATGCTTTGATTGCTCAGAAATGCACTGTTTGTCTCACTGCTTAAGTATGTCCAGATATGCTTAAATACCTCTTAGATAACATATCTGAGAGACTGTATACAGAGTCTGTTTCCTTGGGGAGTTGTATACCATACGGTTACTAAATTCTTCTGTCTAAATTCGTTTTTCCCCCCCAAAACCTGCTCTCAAGTGTTTATCATGCTATCAGTTCATAAATAATATAACCATTGAAACAATCCATCAGCCTCTAGTTGATCCTCTAAAAGCAGCCATTATAATAATCAAATACAGAGTGAACAGGAAAGCAAAGCATTACCTTTAGAAGCTTTAAAATATGAATTTATCAATATTTCACAAGAAGTAGGTTTACAGATGTTATCCCAATGAAATGTGTACACGATTTCCCTGATGCTATTGGGCACATGATTTGGAAAAAAAAAAAAAAAAGAATTCCCTTAGACCAGCAGCCATTAGCATAGAAATAATGGACTTCAAAGATGATAGGATGTAAGCAGACGTTCCAGGTAGAAATAGCCTCATCTGAACTAGTTGGGATTCCTGAGTGGGAAAGGAGAGTGGCAGGAAGCGCATTATACACGCCACCCAAGACGGTCTATGGTGAGGTTGTCAGTGACCAAACCCTCGGGCCACTCCGAACTTCACCAACATCCTTGTCCTCCAGTGACGGGAGAGCTTTGTGCTCCACGGATGCTTAGCTAGTCCTTACTTGGCGCGTGTCCCCTGAAAGGTTTACAAAATTGGGTCTGGATGAAGCTCCGTGTAGGGTTCAACTTTAAAAGGTCAACCCATCTGTCAGCATTTTGCACACTTATGTATTATTATGATACAGCATATTACTTTATGGTAATTTTTATTTTTACATATAACTACCTCCATAAATTTGATGAAGCGGCAGCAGTGCGTTGAAGTGTATATTGTTCAGAAAAGCAAAGTTTAAAACTCGCGTGTCATTAGGCCACGGCGTCCAGTGTGTGTGTCAGTGATTGTCTGCGTGGACTCATGACTTCTTCATGGCCATGGTTTCCTTTGATGGCATTATCTCACCTTCAGACGCAAACCTGTCTCCCCTCGTGCCCACAGAAGCGCACTTGACTTTGTTAGGAATGATAGGAAGTTTTCATTTCTTGCCTTTCCTTCTCCCCACCCCAGTTCCTGCGGAAAGGTCCCCCTGGTGAAGAGCCAATTGGTAAACATAACTTGGAGAGCTGTTGACTTCTGTAAAACTCTGGTTTCAGTTCTAGATTCTCATAGCAGAAGACACATGAGAAATCTGGACTGCCACCCTTGAAGCACTGTCTTGGGTCCTCTCTGCCACCATAGCAAACCTACACTTCACTTCGGTGAGCAGAGCTGTGCTGTGTAGTTGTAACTTCTGTTACGTAGTTGGGGTTCCATTCTGTATATGTTGCACATCTCAGGGGACCTTCATGGGCATGTGAAAAGTGGGGGGAGGCTAGCAAATTGAGAAAATAAATCAGAGGGCTGAAAGGGGACTAGCTGGATAACGAAAACAAACAGTTGCTTCTCTGATTTTGGGAAGCTCAAGGTCAGGAAGCAGAAATTGAAAGTTAATCTGGAATAACAATGATCTGATCTCCAGCTGTCCCAAACTCCCTTCTCCCCCCACCCCCAACCCAACCAGAGTTTCTAAAACGGGAATTTCAATTCTATTGCAGTCACCTTGGGAACAAAAGAAAAAGAAAAGAAAACAACTCTTCAACGGAAACAAAAGCATTGTTCCTTTGTTTAGGTTGGCACAGCTTTGCAAAATTCTACCCAGGATAAACCACTTACCACCACGAAGTGTACTTGAAAATAAAGTTTTTAATTTCAATGATAGGCATATTACTCACAATACAATAGTGATCATATTTGGAAAAGTCACATTTTTTATAACATGGGCAGTATTTGGAGCTCAGTTAAAAACCTACAATGACTTTACAAGTTCATTTCTGGATCTCAAAGTGCTTCCAAAGCATTCAGATTCACAAATAACCCACCGGGCAGGTCCTATTTGTAATACCCATACTTGAAACGCATGAACAGAAGGAGTGACAAGATTACCCAGAACACAGCGGCAGCTAATCAACAATCTCTTTTCTATCTGTTTGATAGACCATCGTGAGAAATCACTCAGTACAATGCTATTTTTTTCTGATGTGTGCTAATAAAGTCAAAGAAAACAAATACAACTTTACACCTTTGTCCATTTTCATTCAAAAAGTTCAGGGTGTTTGGAATTTCACACCTCGGTACCCCTCACTGCATTGATTTAGGAAGTGGGGGGGGGGCAAAGCGTCCCCTCACGTGCCACGGTGGTCAGAAGTCGATCTAGACCTGCACCCTGTTTATGGTTTCACACTGGGCTTTTGTCACCCCTGCGCTAAAACACTGTCTTTCGGGAACATGGCTGCGCCTGCCGGTGGAAGGTGCTGAAATGGACATTTTCATGAGTATTCTTCGCAGCACTTCTTAGCGTGACAGAAATTCAGTACCATCGTCAGGCCCTGCTCTGAGGAATCTGGGTTTCCGAGGGGGCTGGTCTAGTTCTATGTAGTTTCTCAAATTAGGAGATAGAAGATCCTCCAGGGGGACCTTCTCTCTGGCCACAGGCCAGCCATGGGACCAGCTGGCAGCATACTGGCAGGTGACAGTGGACCCCAGCAGAAGTGACCCTTTCTTTCCCTCTTCCCCAGCCCTTAGTCCTGTCCTGCCCATTGTCAAGGCCGCCAGTACCCTTCTGTTCCTCAGTGACTTTCCTGTACAAGGTTAGTGCCAGAGAAGCAGGAATGTGGGAGAAATGAATGCAAAAACCATGGAAAACATTGTTATGCTTTGAGTTAGTGAAATATGGGCAGGAAAGAGATTGCCATCGGTCTGATCTTTGCCAAGTAAGATAAAGGAAAAAGCTGTCACTCCGTTCCTCTTCCAGAAGGGTTTACAGTATTAAGGAAACATCCAGGATTTTCCCATAGATTTTTACATAGGAGGCGTTTCATAAATTACATATATCAAAAAGTCATGATTAAATGTGTCCTGGTGTGTTTGAAACGGACATCAGCATCTCCCGGGTCGAGTTCCGCACGGTGTCTCTTGCAGCAGCATCCCAGATGGGCCCCCAGCGATGGGCCCCTGACCCAAGACCCTGTGTTTTCACAGTCATGTTGTCTGTGGCTCACAGTTGCTGATTTGCAAGGTTCGGAATTCCACAAGGCTCAAAGGGGGGCTCAGCCTCCTTCTTATGATTGTATATTATCAGTTATTGGGCTTTAAATTGCTCCTGTTGGCTTCAAATGTGAACACACACACACACACACACCCACCCACCCAGCCAATGAGGGAAGGGGCTGCTTCCCAGGTGAGGCAGTGATGACAGGAAACCCATGCAAGGCTAGGAGCTTGGCTGGTCCGCATACCGCTGCCTACCTCCCTGTCCAAAGGTTGACCTTGGCACCCCCGTTCCTTTGCTCCCACCCAAAAGAGGTACCAAATCTGAGATCTGAGATGTCCTCCAATATCAGTCCTCTGCAGTTCCAGGAAATTTACCATGAACGACACGCTCTGCAGCTCCTCACCTTCCTGCCCTCCAAGTCCTCCCCCTCCTCCCTGTCTCCCCACCTAGATACCCATCCACCGCCGTGGTTTCCACGTTGGAAGGGCGAAGTAGTGTGTGGTATTGTGCACACAGGATGGGTTAGCCCCAGAGCTAACCTCGGGTCGCCTTCCTGTAAGTACTGACAACTACAAATTAAGGTCCTTAGAGTAGTTGACATAGATACAACTTTCTAGCAGAGAATTAAATTTCAGCGTTCAGTTTAAAGGGATCATAATTCTGCAGGTATCTTCCTCTGAGTGACTGAATGTGACCATTGCATTAGGGGTACATGAATTAAGAAGTGCAAGTGGGATTTACTGTATGTTAGAACGGAGTTTTGCAGCCAAGACTGCCTTGAAAAAAAAATGTGTTTGCACTGAAAAAAAAATTTAAATTACTTGGTCTCTGGTTGCTGTAAAGGTCATCCAAGATGGATGTTCTGTTTATATTGTATAGTATTTCATATGAAATAATTACAGTTCATGAAATGTCTTCCCTAATGTTACTGATTTATAACAGCACATTTGTAACATGGTTTTTATCGTGTTGGTGTGCCATATTGTAAATGATGATTACTTGTCATGCTTAGTATAATAACTTAAAAGAACAAAAAAGCACAGGGATTTTTGTAAGTCTATATTTGAAAGTCCCTCCATATGGTAATATTGTGTTCATGTTGTTTATGTAGTGTTGTGTGAAATATCCATTTTGGATTGTGTTACTTTTTAAGATATTAAATAACATTTGGTTATATGTCTAAGTGGATTTTTTCGGTACCTGAGAAAGAATACTTTAGGTGAGATCAATTTATTTCTCTCCCCAGTTAACATGGTCTCATGACAAATTTTTAGCGCACAATCTTTGTTAGCGCTTTTGGATGAAAACAACTAAAAATGGACATTTCTGATCAAACTATTTTTCCAGGGATGTTGAAAAAATCACATTTTTAGCTAGTTCTTCAAATTTAAAACAGCAAGACTTAGAGATGCGTATAATTAAACTTTCTATATGAAATTAAAAAGGGGACGGGGTTGGTTTCGGTTTTGTTTCGTTCTGTTTTGTTAGCACTCACATCACAACTTCTATCCCCAAATAGATGTGACCCCCCCCTCCGGTAAACCTTCGGTGGCACTCAGTCCTCTGACGAGGCACTTGCACAAGTATAGAAGGTCTTCTGAATTGACTGCATGTTCTTTTTACTCCTCAGTGGCGGCAAATCTTTGGCCTGGGAGAATGGACTCCATTTTCTCAAACCCAAAAGGACCTGTTCAGACGATTAAGCCGGGAAACCGCGTTTCTTAATCAGAAACAGCATGGAGCGCTCAAGTGGAGCCTGCCTTTCTCGTAAAGGCAATACCGCGAGCAGACTTCCCAAAACCGCTTTGAACGAGGGCCGTGTGGTCCGGACCCGCGTGCGGGGCCCACGGCGACCGCTTCGAAGGCCAGGTCTTGCTTTAGTTGAAAGAACTTCGTCTCTGTATTTCAAACTGTCTCAGTACAGACACTCCATTTTTCCAGAGGTATTGAGGGTGTATCGTGAGTTTTACGCTCGGACCAAACGCTGCGGTGCTCAGGGGAGGGTTTGCTGTGTGTACCTTCCAGAAAGATCCAGGCAACTAGACGCAGAGAGGGGCTGTGGTGACTTATGGCGGGGGTGGACGGCAGGGTCCTGACTCCTTTCACAGAATGGCCACAGTTCATATAAATCTTTTCTTTCCAAAGGAAATGGTACGGTTTTAACTTATTTTTCAGTGTTTAGAGTGGCGGGATTTTTTTTTCTCTTCCGTACGGACAAGCCAAGCAGAGGACTCGATATTTGCCCTCACCTTGTTCCAGCTGTGAAATCGAGAGCCACTGAATAATAAAAAGAAGGTATTCGCCTGACCTTAAGAATTCATTTAACTATGAAAGCTTATCCCTACTGTGGGAACACTTGGATTTCGGGGTAGTCCCCTTCTTTGGGCTCAGGGGCTCCAGACTCTTCCTGTAAAGCAAATAGTTGACCACGTGACACGTGGCATACGCGTGCGTGATGGATATTCACAGAGCACGCAGCATGCACTGCGCGGGAATTTCAAGAAAAATCAAGGCACCTGCTCTCAGGTTAGACTGGACAGGGGATTTGGTGAACCTTGAAAGCGCGGCATTGGAAGTGTGATGGTGAGCAGGAGAGGGAGGTTGGACGCCTGAGAGGGGACCAGAAGGGCCCGCGGGGCTGGGTTGGCGTGTAAAGGGTGAAGTTGCACGGGTGCTCAACGAAGGGGACGGTCTCTCCGCAGGCAGGTCTGGGACTTGGAGGCCAGAGTCCGCCGGAGCGAGCGGCCTGCCCTGCGAGCCAGCGTGGGCTTGTCTGGGTGGCCACTGGGACCGGTCAGTCAGGCAGCCTCAGGGTTCCATCCCACATTCCTCCCGGGCGACCCTCCTTCACGTCCCCCTCTCTCTGTGTTGTTAAGTTCCGTGCAGTATTTTTCTTTTCTGTTACCTAGGGTTTTTTTACTTTTTTATCTACATAAAACCAACCATATTTGTTTGTTTGTTGTTATGTTGTCTACTCTATTAATATTTGGACTTATTCCTTGCTTCAGTTACATGTATATAACGACATAATATTTATGACCATAGTAATACATATTAACAATATAGGAATATGTGATATATCATTTATATACTCAGTAACAATGTATCTAATTGCCATTGATTACTAGTGTAACTATTAAGTTTCCTATTGATACTGCCTTGCCCTCTTTGTACCCACAGCACTGTCTTCCTTCAATCTTATTTCCTCTCGCCTTTGCGCTAGAGACCGAGACCCAGGTGCTGCCAAGCCCACGGCTCCTGGAGGCCGGTATTCCCAGGTCCTGCGGCCGACAGAGCAGGACGCACGAGTGAGTACACCGACCTGCGCAGATACTCGTGTCTCTTAAGTGTTTCCACACGGAACACCTGCATCTGTAGTAAGCGCCACGTGAGTTCACGCTGCTGTATCCCACAGGAATCCACACCACGCAGATCGTACCTGCCTCCTCCCCGGTGCTTGTCTGTAGCCTCGCTCTCCGGCAGCAAGAGACTTGGCTCCCGACAGCGGCCACTCCTGCACTTCACTGTCCCCCGCAGTGCACAGGCGTGGTGCCTCCTCCACTGTATTTTATCAAACTGCTTAGATACATATGGATACACGTGGAAGTGGAAAAAATGGAAAGTTTTCCCAACTTCTCCCGAGCAGGGGCTCACTCAGTGTGACAGAACAGTGAAGACCGCTAACGCGTTAAGGGACTTATCTCATCCTAATGGGACTGTGCTAAAGAATGGTGAGGCTCAGAGGGAACGAGTCGCTAGGAACACTACCTCAGGTGACCTGTCCTCATCCTGTCATACCATCGGCGCTTGGAACGTGCTATGTCCACCTCAAAGTGACAGGCCGGATTTTTAGCGAGCCCCCCTTCCTTCTCCCCACTTCCCACCGGTTAACACCTGAATGTTTACCGTGTTTCAGGGGCCAGCTCAAACGCCTTCCTTTCCCAAGGGCTTCTGTTCTCTGGGCGCCCCTTTCCACTTTCCTGCCCTGACTCCGTAGGGACCCTTTACCCGCCTCACCCCTATTGTTTCCGACTGCGTTTGCCATTTTTGTCTTCGAGTCGAGAGTGTAGACTCCTGCCCAAGACCATGACCTCGGCGGCTAAACCATTTATGCCGCTTTTATTCTGTCTGCTGGATTTCCTGGGGACGCTTCCCCCTGTTGCTGTCTTGAAATGGGCCTGGGTCGAAGGCCACAGCAGGATTGCAAACAGGTGGAGGCCTCTGCCGACGCCTGCTCCTAACCTAAGCAGCCGTCGATGAAGACACCCGTGCCTTGTAGCTTTCTGTATGTGCTAGTCTTTTTTATTTTTATTTTTTTACAGTAAGCCTGCCGTTTATGAAATGTGCTCACCACACTGCTGGAAGCTCACCACACTGTCTTCCTTATTAGAAAAGAAAACCAGTGACCAGGGCATGGCTTTGGAAATGTCAGCAGGTTGTTAAAAGATTGAAACAAAAGAGGCAGGGAGGCCCTGGGTCCCTTTCTCTTTTGGCTCTTGGGTTGGAGCTCAGGAGGGGCTGGGTTTCCCCTCAGGACCCCTTGGCCCATGGAACAAGAGGTCGGGAAGGACTTGGGAAGGTGGTCCAAAGCCACTGGATTCGGGTCAGGAGAAGCTGGGGGCGTGTGAGCGGGGTTCATTGGTGGGGAAGGGCACAGCCACGAGCCCTGCGGGGCTGCGGCCGGGGCTTCTTCCCAAAGTGGCGGGGAGTATCTGTGCCTGTGACCACAATATGTTTCCTCTTAACCATGTCTGAAATCTACAGACGGCTGACGATTATTTATGCAAGCTTTTCATAACAGTGTAACAAAAAATTGACTTTCTCTCTCTCGATTTTGTTTTTTCCCCTCTATCTCAGCCACATGTTTTTCTTTCTGTTCCTTGTCATTTCTTCCCCCAAACTCCAGCTCCTTCACTTTTTTGCATCTGCGAGATTTTGGCTACAGCTCATTTTTCATTTTAATGTTCTCATTTCTCTTCCCCAACCCTGTCAGGCACTTTTAAAACAAGTTCTCGATTTTGATTTCTTGATAACCTTTTAACGTATCTTCCTACAACAGTGTCGCCGGCTACGGCTAGCTCATTCTGGGCCTGTAATGTGAGTATTTAAAAAGTATAACCGGGGAGTTCTAGTTAGCAGACTACTTGCTAGGACACCCAAATATTCAGGTTCGCTAAAAGATAATAATAAAATACAATAAAAAATGGTAAAGCCTTGCTGTGAGTTGACCTACGGCCCCGGGAGCCGGCAAAGCTGCGGTTTAGCTGTGCTATTGGGACTGCTGAGTTCCACAGCAGTGCAGGAATGAAGTTATTCTCCGTGACGGCGAGGTTCAGAAACCGGGACTGGGGTCCTACCCTGGGGTGTGGTCGTGGGTCCGGGTGAGCTGAATGGACCCGAGGTCAAGTTCCCAAAGGGAGGCAGGGCGTGGCAGGGAAGTTGAACGGGGCGGGGGGGGGGGGGGGGGGCTTCACAATTCTCACTTCTTGAAATTCTCGGCTCTATCAGAAGACACCAGTGCCTTTTCGCTTCCTGTGTGTGCCAGTTTTTTTTTTTTTACAGTAAGCCTGTATTATTTAAAACTCAGAACACCGTTTATGGAAAAGTGTTTATGAATGCAACACACAGAAGAAAGGCCCCAGATGTGACGGCGTGCGCTCTCTGTTCGAATCCTCCCGGTGAGTGAGCCCTGCCTTTCTCTGCAGCGCTTCTAGGCCTCTCCACCCCTGACGGGAACGGAACCCCAAAGTCCGCAGGTCTCCCGTGCGTACAAAATGCCCTATTACTTAAAGTTGCAGACCGGCATGCTCCCTGCTTTCCAGCACAAAGACGTCTTCCTGGTCTCAGTGAAGTGCCATCCAGAACGTTAGATTCTGGAGGATTCAGAGGGGAAAAAGGAATAAAGGTAAGGACTGTTGTTTCCTTTAGGCACAGAGTTAAAGCCAGCATGTGGGAGACAAATGGGTCACCTGTAGCCAGGACAAGCTGGTGCTTGATTTCGTCTTATTCTTTATTACTTAACCATTCCTCCCAAACCGTTCATCACCACTAGCGCCATTCCCCTCCGAATCTAATTGAGGCACATCTTC